CATTCGCATGCACGTTTTGTTTTATTTATTGATTTTTTACGAAAGGTGCATATGCGCGGGCATTTATTATACATGAACCTATAGAATAAATTGTATAGCTGTAGGGAAGGAGCATTTGATTGGCAGATTTAGCAGTTATTTATGTTTTTTTAATCGCTAACATATTATCTATTGCAACGTTAATTGTAACCAGTGTATTTCTGTAGTCGAAAATAAATACTTAAAGAGAATTTGACTGCAGACTGATTAGCTATGTAAACAGCATATTCAATTCATATTAGAAATTTTATAGAAGTCTACGTTAGAACTAGCATTTTCTCAATTCGAGACAATTGTCAAGTGACATTCTGACTAGTTTTGGCTATTTCTCTTTTATTTATTTAAAGTTTATTTTTCTTTTATAAATTTTAGCATTTTACCTAACCAGCGCCACATAAATCCAAATTTAAAACTTCGTACAAAAATTATGAAAATTCAACAAACTTTAACATTTGCACCCAAAAATTTTAAACTTTTTATTCAGAGTTTTTTTGTTAAATTATGGGAAGTGGGAAAGTGAAAATTTCAAGACGCTAGAAGATCGCGTTAATTTTTAATTATTTTTTTTGCCGATGGTGCTAAATAGGCATTTTCACCCATACAAACGAAATTGTCGCGCATATTTTATACGGAGGGAAACGCACAATTATTAAAAATCAAAGCGATTTTTTACCGTCTTGAAATTTGCACTTGAACCTACTAAAATTTAATGAGCTAAGAAACTGCATACCTAACATTTTTCTAAAAATTTTGAAAAAAAGTTTAAAGTTTTCGGGTGCAAGTGCTAAAGTTTGTTGAAATTTCTTAACTTTTTACGAAGTTTGAAATATGGATTTATGTGGCGCTAGTTAGGTAACGTGCTAGACTTTTATTAAAAATAATATACACATTAAATAAACAAAAGAAAAATAGCTAAAACTAGTCAAAATGTCACTTGACTTAATCAGCTGACCACAAGGGTATGTCCCATTTTTGTTGAGATAGAGCATTCTAGATTTAATAGCTACGATAATACGGAAATTTTAAAAATAAATACCTAGTTTGTATTATAAATCTTCTACTAAATCATCGGTCTGATATATGTTTGTATTTGTATTTAAATAAAACAAAGAAGGCTTCCCATGAAACCACGTCATTTTATTACAGGAAAAACAACATTTTATAGGAATTCTTGAAAATCTAAAAATTCTCATGTACAAATATTACAGTTTTATTTATATTCCTTCCAACTAGCGGCATGTTTTTCAATTTACGCTTGGTCTCCTCCTAGTAGGAGGGGGTGCTAGTGATAAGAGTAGCTCTCCTAGTTGGACACGTAGGGCTATTAGCTGTTGGCGTACATCTTCTAGTTCAAGGCGTAGGTTATTTATTTGAGTGAGTATAGGTCTCAAGGTTTGGGGTGTAGGTCTCCTAGCCGGACGCGTAGGCCGCCTAGTCGGACGCGTAGGCCGCCTAGTCGGGCGCGTAGGCCGCCTAGTCGGGCGCGTAGGCCTCCTAGTCGGGCGCGTAGGTCTCCTAGTCGGGCGCGTAGGTCTCCTGGTTCGCGGTGTAGGTCTCGTAGATTCCGGTGTAGGCTCTGTAGGCGGTATTGGGTCAACAACAGACACATCTGGCTCATCAGGCTGAGCTTGAGTCATAGTTATAGTGATCAATAGCACAGCTCCAAAAACTGGAATTCAACAAGTTAGTAGGAAAATCATATATGTACCACGACTTAAGGACTTACGGAGTACAAAGAAATTCCTGGGCCACATGTTTCGATGCTTTGATGATTTCGAGATTCGGAACGAAAAACAACTGATCGTCATACAAGAGCACATATGGACTTTTATAGTTGAATAGACAATAAGAAACAAGTGATCATCAGAAAACACGTGCAAGTTTTTTAACGATTGTTTCAAATTGTAACAATACATTTGCGAGAAAAAACTGCCAGCGCACAGTGGAAGCTTGTGGCTCTAAATTAAAAAAAAATGAGGAAGTAGTAAAACTATTTTTTTACAGCGATCGACAGATATCACGTAGGATAAGAAAAAACAAAAAATTTCATTTTGAAATTGCTTTATGTTAAGCGGTAAAGTTCAGCAAAAACGATGCCAGTTTATTTATAAAGCGTTTAATTTGCTTCGAACTGCTCTATATAATTTAGTTATTAAAGTAGATGTATGCTTTATTTATATACCAATTTGTAAGACTTGATTTCTTATTTCATAAAAATTAATACTCTTGTTGTCACCATTCACATTTGGATTTATATGAATTTTCAAATATTGATAAACAAGTGTTGAACACTATTTTTTTTCTTAATTTTAAATTTAAATTAAAAAAAAAAAAAAAAAAAATTTATCCCTCAGTTTTTCTATATAACTTGAACCCACTTATACTTTATCAAACTCCGAAAAATTGGAAATTTTCAGCTTTAAAAAGGTATATATATGCATGTCTGCCGTAATTTTTTAATGTACGATGGCCCCACGTACGCTTTATGAATAGCCAGCCTCAATTTGATCATTCGCATGCACGTTTTGTTTATTAATTTTTTGTGAAAAAATAAGTTTAAAGTTTTCGGGTGCAAATATTAATGTTGAATTTTCATAATTTTTGTACGAAGTTTGAAAAATGGTAAGGTAATATGCTAGACTTTTATAAAAAACTAGCAGACCCGGCGAACTTCCTCACGCCCAAAATATTTATATATTTTATTGAAACTTTTTGGTCCAACATTTTCACCAACAATTCACGTTTACGATTTTCATTGGCACATTAGTCTGCTAAGATTAAGGTTTGGTGGTCATTTGCCGCTTTAAATAACCTAAGGAAAGTGTTATATCCGTTCTTGAAATTCTCCAGTTGTGCGGCATTTCGTAGCACGGTTATTCGCAAAGCGAAATAAATTTTTTCCTCTTCACTCCCTGGCGGCAACAATGACCCGGTTCTATAGTGAATGTCCTAGAAGCTTTACAGTATAGTAGGTGGCAATTTCAAAATGGGTGCGAATCATTCTTCTACAGAAATGCAATATACATATACTTATTTCAGACGAAATACCTTAAAAGTTTGAACGCATAAT